TGGAGATCTTAGGGAGACTTAATGACAACCAAGCTTCATTATTTCTGTTTTGTGTATGAGGAAACTGACTCACAGAGGGTCCAGCAATTTTCTCATTCATGCTGTGGGTTATTACCAGAACCATGAATGAAACTTAGGATGAAACCCTATTTCATAAACCATTAAACCTTGTATCCTTTATAGGAGTGGAGTTTACTATAATAATGACACCTTTGTGTTGAGAGTTCATTCCTTTATTCTGTGATTAAGTCTTGGCTTATGTGGGGCAGAAGCATCCCACTACAATGCGAGCTTGAGTTGTTCTGCAATGCAAAGCAAGATGGGAAAAGTTGTGTGTTTTGGTGACGCCCAGACCATTCACAGCTTATTGTTTTCATTCATCCTTCCATTTATTAATTTATTCATTCCATTATCATATATCTGAGTCCCCATTACATCATCTGGAAAATGGGCAGAGTAATATTACCATTAGCAAAAGGCTGTTTTGAGAAGGTAATTTCTATAATGCACATTGTCTAGCACATAGTAAGCCCTTATTCATAATAATTATTTTCATTAAACAAGCAATTCCAAGTGCCACATGGGAAGACAAAAAAAAAAATGGTTCTTTTATAGCCCTACTTAGGGGTGGAGAGGGCAAGGTTGCTTCTGAAGGGTGGATTAATTCCTGGGGGAAGAGGTAGATCCCTCAGATTAAAACTGGTACAGAGCAGATGGGTCTCAGGTAGACCAGAGAGGGGTTCTCCGAGTTTGGACTATGAAGTATCAGGAGAGCTAGGAAGGTATTGCTGGGTAGTGGATATCAAATTGACACGAACCAGTTAGGAATGGGCTGGAGATGAAGAGACAGAGAAAAGAAACACAGATAAACTTCAGATGAAATGTGGTGCAGCTTCTAAGTCCTACACATCTATCTAGTTATGGCAGAATCAAAGCCTTATACACTGATAGGCCAGCCTGTTTAAATTCCCTATATTTACTTCCAGGTTACTCTTCCTTCATATTGAACACAATTTTTGTCCAAGTTCGCACCTGTCCCATCAGCACTCAGGATACATCAGATACAGTGTTAAAAAGGAAGCAGCCAACCTTGGATGGAGCCACAGAGCAGAAGGAATCCCTCCAAGAAGTGCAAACACAGGGAGACCCTCTTTCTGTGGCTCACTGGGGATGAGATGAGTTTGATATTATTAGGAAACTCTCATTTCATAGAGCTGCTTGCAGTTTCAGTCCTCTGTGTGCCCTAAACACTGGGTTTAAAATCTTTCCCAATGCAGACACAAAATCCAGAAGCTGTTAAGGAAAATGTTGATAGATTGGTTTCATAAAAGGTGTAAAAACTTGGTGTGACAAAAACCACCAAAACCAAAACTGAATGACAAGCAACAGACTGGAAGAAAATATTTGCGAACAGCAACACATATTTTAACATTACATTATAAGAAGAAGGAATATCCATAATGCATAAGGAGCTCCTCTAAATCAGTAAGGAAGACAAATCCAGTGGACAAAAGATATAAACAGGTAATTTCAGAAGAAATAGAAGCACAAAATGCTCATCTTTAGTAGTAATGATGGTACTACAAATGAAAACAAGCTGCCATTTTGTTTGCCCATCAGATTTTGGCAAAAATCAAAAAGTCTTAGAATAGTGAATACTGGCAAATATAAAGGGATATTGGGAGTTTCTTCTGATCGTGAGAATGTAAACTGTGTAGCCTTTTTAAAGGAGAGTTTGACAGTATCTATAAGCACTTATGGTATGCCTACCTATTCATACAACAATTTCATGTCTAGGAACCTATGCTATTTAAGTATGTCCACATGAGGGCAAAAATACAAGGATGTCAACTGCAACAATGTTTGAGACACTGAGAAAATACTGCTAACATCTAACATTTATGAGGGCCGGCACTCTTCTAAGCACTTTGTAACAGACGATATAAGGAAACTGAGATGCCCACAGCTAGGGTGCGGAAACGGCAGGATTTTAGTCCAATTTGTCTCCAGAGTCTGGTAGGATGCTGTCTAAGAGAGAGAAAATAAGTCTGGTACATCCATACCATGGAATATAGTACAGCAGTTCAAAAGAATGAGGTAGATTTCTGTTTACAGACAGGGAGATCCAAGACATATTATTAATTAAGGGGAAAAAAAAAATCAAGTTGCAAAAGACCATAAGGCCAGATGTGTGGGAAAAAGATACATTTGTGTATATATACAAATAGCATGTATGAGAATAAGGTAAAGGCCTTCACTGACGAGAGAAATGTGTGGTGTGTAGGGAGATTTGGGAGAGTAATTTTTGAGGCATGTTTTACACGTCTGGTTTCTTTTAGCTTTTACAAGAACGCATTTGTGCATTACTTTGGTAAAAAAGAATTGTTCTGTTGACCAAAAAACATAAAAAACAACAACAAAAATAGAACGGTTTAACTCATATCAAGAGATCAGTCTTCTTTTCCATGTAGACAATGGTGCAGGTCTTGGTTAACAATCTTCTATGGTATGGCTTTTTCTAGCGTATGTAGAAGGTGCCCATTATCTATATCTTGCTGATCACTACCTATTCTTTTCAGATAAGGTTTTCATGTCCAGTTATTTGGGACCACGACTTCCTGTTAGCCCACCAAGCTCCATAAAAACATACAGCCAGTTATGGAAAAATTTGGAACCTGAGAACCACATGGTGCTTTTGCTTTGTGTTATTTTGTTGGCTTCAGGGAAAAGGATCCATGATCATGGATTATATCTTATTTTGCTCCAGTGCATAAACACAAATCTTTCGCTCATTTTGTTTTCCTGGTGTGACTGCAGAGGTATGAATGAGTCACTCAACATACAGATTTAAAGGACTTACCTTTTGACCAGAAGTCAGTGTTATTATCTGAGAGGAGAAGGCTATACTGGATCGTTCAGGGCCTCTTCCTAAGTCCAAGTGATGGTGGCTTTGACACAAAGCAAAAGACGCTGCTGGAACATTTATTGATTAAATTGCTACGTTTACAAGGTTACAGCTTTAGAACTCAGCTGCAGATCTTTGTGAGCTTATCTCTGACACGCCAGTGAGAAATGTTCTTAAGATTCTTATTACTTAACGGAGAGTAGATGATAGCTTTTTTTGGAGTGGTCCAGCTAAGTACAATTTTTCAATTCTTGAAATTTTAATGTTCTCTTAAGCATCTTTACAGAAAAACGAATTCTCATTCACTTAAAAACAACCATCTTCTCTTGTTCTTGCAGCTGCTCATTTTACATAGTTTTAAGTAGTGTATACAAACTATTTTGTATCTGTTGTTCATTTAACCTTATTTCCAATACATCTTTTCATGTACTTGCCAAAGTCTCATGCTTCTGACATAAATCCAACATACCTGCCAGGATTCTGTTAATGTGACAGAGTTTGCTTGGATTATTCCCCAACTCTTGGACAACTGGGCCCCTTCCCCGGTTTTGGTCATTATGAACATTCTGAATAGCCTTGCTATAAACATCTTTATGCAAGCCCCCCCCCCCCCGGATTATTTCCTTAGACATGTACTTCCTTAAATGGGTTTACTGGGTCAAAGGGGCTCAATGAACAGTTTTATAGCTCCTGGCACATATTTTTCAGATTGCGCCCTGCGTGGATCTGACCAATGGCACGGGCCGCGAGAGGGCAGGAATGCGGAGGAGCGGCCCCTATAACCACCCTTCTTCCGTCCCCCAAAAGGCAAGGACCTGGAGAAAGCCTGCGGCTGGAAGCCTTTTTCTATCGTTCTCTTATCCTCTTCCTGATTAGTGTTTAAGCCCAGGCTGGGAGAAGACCGCTGGGGACCGGCACAAAGGTTTTCGGATTCCAGGACTTCTGCCCTGGGGGCTGAAGCAACTCCTTCAGGCCCTCCATACCCGGACTAGGAGTCCAGTTTCCGACTCCCATTGCACACTCCCCCAGCCTTTCCACTAAAATCTTCCTGGCCCAGGCAGGCCCCTCGCCAGCGCAGAGCCCTGCAGGCGACGGCAGCGACTGGCGGTCGTTATTATTTTGGCGCGGGTGATGCAAGGCCCGCATAGCTGCGCGCTGAGTCAGTGGGGGCGGGCTGACCCATTCCCCCCCCCCCACCCCTCCCCGGGCCCGGCGGCGGCGGGACCGGGCGGTGGGGGCGGGCGGCCGGCCTCTGAATCCGCGGGGTCGCCCTCCCGGGCAGGGTCAGGCGGGAGCGGGGCCGCGGAAAGACCCCAGCCCCGGGCGCGCTCTCCCCTCCCCCAGCTGGAGCTCGGCGGGTCAAGCGAGGAGGTCACCGCGCGCCCGGCCGTTTACCCTGGGAGAACTCGAAGTGGGGGAGGAGGAAGCGGGGAAGGAAGGAGGATCCAAAAGGAGAAACACGGAGCGGGACCGACAGGAAGAAACGAAAAATGGAGGCGAAGGGGCGACAGGAGGCGGAGGCCGGCGGGCGGGGGCGGCGGCGCGCGCGGGGCGGGGCGGAGCGAGCGGGGGCGCGCGCCGGCGGCCGCGGCCCGAGGGGCTTGTGGGTAGCGGCTGCGCGCGGCCGGAGACGGGATCCGCGCGGGAGTGTGTGAGGGGAGCGGGCTTGTGGGACCGAAGCTGCCCCGGCGAGCATGGGGGCGGGCTGGCGGCGGCCGTAGTTGTCTGAGCCCGGGCTTCAGCTTCCCGGAGCGCCAGAGGGCGGGGCGGTCCAGCCCGGCGGTGGCCGCGCCGCTTCCCCGCTCCCGCCCTCGGAGTCCTGAGGGAGCTCGCGGCGGGCGAGCGGACCGGGCGGCGCGAATCGGACTGAGGGGCGGGGACGCCGTCTGCTTTTCGCCGCTCCCGGCCGGGCCGGGCGGCCCCCTGGACAACCCGAGGCCCCGGACCGGCGCTGAGAGCCGAAGCCGGAGCTAGAGGCGGGCGGTGGGCCCTGGCGGAGCCCCGCCCGGAGCCGGCGGTTCGGGGGCGGCGCTAGGCCCCGAGGCGCCCGGGCCAGAGCGCGGGGAGCGGGAGTGCGGGGCCGGGCGGCGGCGGCATGAGCCGGCCCCCGGCTACGGGGAAAATGCCCGGCGCCCCCGAGGCTGTGCCGGGGGACGGGGCGGGCGCGAGCCGCCAGAGGAAGCTGGAGGCGCTGATCCGAGACCCTCGCTCACCCATCAACGTGGAGAGCTTGCTGGTAGGTGGCCGGGGCCCGGGCGCCCTCCCTGCTCTAGTAGCGCCTTCCTCAGATCCCCCTCTGTGCCCACCCATCCGTGGGAGGGAGGTCTCGCCCCACCCCGCCCCGCTTCCGGCAGCCGGGCCCGGGTCGGAGGCCAGAGACTTCTGCGACCAAGTTCCAGCAGTAGAGACCCGCGTTTGATTCTTCTTTCCCCTTCTGCCTCCTGGAGCCGGTGTCATCCCCGACTGCCTTTTTCTTGGAGCCCTGGGAGGAAACACCCCTCTTCTCCTTCCCGCCTCTCCTCTCGCTTCGGGGAGCTAGGGAGCAGGATTTGCCGTCTTGTATTCATCAGGCTAGCCAGTTTGAAAGAGTGGCATGCTGCGTGGGGACGTGGGTCGAAGCAGGGAAACCTGATGCTCTCCCTGTTGGGAGTACCCACTTGGGGTAGATGACAAAGAGCCGGAGCCAAAGAATCAGTCTGAATTGTCGAGTAGAATAAATCTCACTTTTTCATTGTACCTCTTTCTTAAGGCAGTCTGAAATACAAATAACCACGTAAAGGCTGCTAGTTGGCTCTTGATTAAGAAGTGAATATGTTTTACAAATTAGAAATGCACCGGAGAATGCTTGCTTATTTCTTATTTTTGTTAGGCGATTGTATTTCACAGTTTGATTAGTGTGTAGTAGAGATGCATTTTATGGGAAAAGGGGGTGCGGATTTTTCCCCCGGGAGAAGAAGAAAGTGAAAAAGATGCTCTGGATATTAAATTAACTCGGGAGGACGAGAATTTGTGTGGGTGATCCTTGGACCCTTTAGATACCAGAACTCCTGTTCAGTTCTCCTCCCTGCTGGGAGAAACCTAGTGACTGTATGCTGAGAAAAACTGTGTTTCCTCCCTTTCCAGTGATTAACTGACTTTTCTTCAGAAGTCATTGGTTATCCTTTGAGGTTTCTGGAATCGTTTGCAGAGTGACTCAGTGCTGTTTGGCCAAAGTGCAGGAACCGACTGAAGAGTGTGTCTTCTGTACAATGAGCAGAATGTAGTGATGTACTGTATTCTGTCGGATGTCTTTGACGTTGTCTTTCACTGATTTTCGCATTAGTGTGTTGTTTGTGTATTTTCATGGCATCGTGACACCCGGGTCCCTCTTTAGCAGTCTTCAGTTGGGTGTAGGACTGGTTGCATTAAGGGCATAACTTTTCCTAGGCCAGAGCAGAGACTCTGGGCTTCACTCCCAACATTTTCACTTTGGTATTTTGCTAGCAAAACTTTGACCCAAGGCCAGAAAGTTCATTTAAAAATAGTACCGCAAGTATTCATCAGGTTCATATTCAAACCTAGATAGAAAATTTTTACTGCACTTTCATCTCTTGGGTCTTTACTGATGTTAATTACAATTCCGGTTATTCTATTCAGGATATTGGAATATCCTAAGCTAATTATACCTGTAATATGTTCATACATTCTGTTTTGTTATTTTCTAAATTTTTAAAATGAAGGCTGTTTTTAACAGTGAAACATTACACGTTTTAGTAAACAGTTTGGTCCATTCATTTATTGAGTGCTCAATACAGCCAAGACACCTTATGCTTTTGTTAAGGCGATGTATTGTTGGTATGAGAGTTGACATTAGATGCTGCTGACTGGACAGATTTTGCTATTGCTGTTTTTAGTTGATTACATGTTATGATTCTGAGTTGAAGTAAATCTTACCAGGCCAAAAATTGTCCCTTAACTCTTTTCTTTTCACCAAGGTTGCCGTGCTTCTCTTGCAAATTGATCAGATGAAAAAATTTTTAGAACTGTGTTACAGTAAGTTAGTTTTAAACTATGTGTATTGTACTAAATAGTAGAATGAGTCTGCTTTTTTGTGGTAACATTTATGTAAAGTTTACCATTTTAACCGTTTTTTAAGTGTACAGTTCAGGGGCATTAATTACATTCATGTTGTTGTGTAACCATCACCACTATCCATTTCCAGAATTTTTTTTTATCTTTCCAAACAGAAACTCCATGAATTAATCTTTACAAGAATATTATAAAAACATTTCCTAAAATACTAATGAAATAATGGCTGGTATCACCTTAAAGATTTGATTCCTTACGATTTAACCTGCACATCACAGTGATTGATTATTGTTTTATTGCATATGGCATTTTTGGTTTTACTATAGAAAATAATATTTTTTCTTTAACAGAGAAAACTTAATATAGTCAAATAAAAACACAGCCGTGAGTCTTAGTTACTTCACTTAGGAGCTCAGAAAGTACCATTTAAAATTGTATACTAAAATGACAAAAGTATGAAGATGAAATATACCAGAAAGTTACTGTATAATTATTAGAAGATAAAACTCTCTTTGTAGGAAAAAATGTTAGGTGAGATTACATGCAAAGTGCTTAGCTCAGTGCTTGGTACGTAGTAGGGCTCATTACATTTAGCTCGCTTCTGTGTACAGTTAGCATAGTTAATTGCTTTAAGTTTCCTTTGAAAAGGAAAATGATTTTATTAGCAACCATTTCTTGCTCTATAATTTTGAATATGTAACATTGTAATTTGAATTTGCCATCATAAAAGTGCTAGCAGTCATCAAGCATAGGTAAAGCTGGATTCTAAGACTGGGTTAGTGTTAAAACACTAAATTATCTTTTTTTCTGTGCAGATGCTCCCTGCTTTACGTAGGTCCTTAAATTAATCTGGAGAGAGTGTATCCCTTTTGTGGTTACAGATTGTGGGCTGCTTGGTATTATTTTAAAATAGAGGGTTTTTTTTTTTTTAAGATTTATTTATTAGAGAGAGAGAGCGAATGGTTGGAGCAGGGGGGAGCGGGGTGGCAGGAGAGGGACAAAGGGAGAGTAGAGAGAATCTGAAGCAGACTCTCCATGGAGCACAGAGTCTGACTGGGACTCTGTCTCGAGACCCTGAGATCACAACCTGAGCCAAAACCAAGAGCGGGACGCTTAATCGACTCTGCCACCCAGGCTCCCCAAAAATAGAGTTTTGAGGGAGGTTTGTTTCTGTAATACTTTTTTTGGAGGGCAGGGACTTCAATAGTGTGCTTTTGCAGTGCTTGAAACTTTTTGGTAAACACCCATGTTTTGTTGTCAAGACTCCACTTCTCATACTGCTTTCCCAAATAATATGGTAAAAAGAATTGTGCTGGAGAGATGTCTTTTTCTTTCTTTCTTTTTTTTTAAGATTTTACTTTTTAAGTAATATCTACACCCAACATGGGGTTTGAACCCACAATCTCGGGATCAAGAGTTGCATGCTTTACTGACTGAATCAGCCAGGTGCCCCGAACCTTTCTAAATATCTTTCTAAAGATGTGTGCTTTTGGGTTTTGATATGTTTTACTAAAAGAGTAAATGGTTATAATAACCTGGGATTCAGGCTTAGGTAAACTGTTATTTAAGACTGGTGTTGATGGGGAAAGGTGATTAAAATTTTATTTATGAATGTCAGTGACTTAGAATACAAAATGCTTCATTTGATTGATTTCATTATACCAGTAAACTGTATGAACATATTTCTTATCACAGTGCTTAGATTTCAGCTTGACACTGGTTATCTGCCTAATTAAAGTAAACTTTTATGTGTATTTTTTTCCCCACTGTGTAATAAGTGTGAATATTATAAAGATATAAAAGTGAAATAGAAGTTGAAAAATTGTTTTATACATGTTTTTCTTTTGTGAAATAAAAGTTGGGCATTTATAGTATAAGTGGGATTACTTTACTTTAAAACTTGCATTTTGATGATCATTAAAGACAATGAATTAGCTAGAGAGGTTTAAAAAAGTGTAATGTATGGAATTTACAGTTTAGGTGAAGTTGAACCTCTTTGAAAGTACAGGTCCACAGCCCCTAACCCACAATTTTGCTACATAAAGAACTCAGAAAACCAAGTTTTTGGTAAAACTTACTTGATCGTAACATCTGACCTGATTTGATGTTAGAATATTTATAATCAATTTGTCCTTCCTGGTATAATTGGAATAGCTTTCCTTGGAGAAATATTAATGTGTTTGATTTCAGGGTGCTACAGCAGACTTGCAAGAGGGTTTTCAGGAATGTACTGTACTTTATTACCGTTCTAAAATCCAGAAAATTTTGAATTCGGAAACATCTTGTCCTAACGTAATGCCAATGTAGACTTACATACATCTCAAATGCTGTAGTTATAAAGAAATAGTGAATGATTATCTTTTTTTTCCTTTTTTTAATTTAATTTTATTATGTTATGTTAGTCACCATACATTACATTATTAGTTTTTGATGTAGTGTTCCATGATTCATTGTTTGCATATAACACCCAGTGCTCCATTCAATACCTGCCCTCTTTAATACCCATCACCAGGCTAACCCATCCCCCCACCCCCCTCCTCTCTAGAACCCTCAGTTTGTTTCTCAGAGTCCATAGTCTCTCATGGTTCGTCTGTGAATAATTATCTTGAAACCTAAGTTGTTGTTTTGGTTGAGTCCTGATCCAGTAGTCTTCTTTTCTCATTTTGAATTCTGAAATATTCTAAACATTAAGAGAATATAGCATGCAAATATGAATTATGAAGCATAAAAAACATTCATGAAATCACCGCCCAGTTTAATGAACAGAACACTAGCCTGTTGAAGTTACTATGTGTTGCTGCTGCTTGATCAGTCTTCATGCATTTTCTCCTGTTACCCTGAAATTTTTTTTAAAGATTAATTTACTTATTTGAGAGAGAGTGAGCATGTGTGAACAGGGGGAGGGGCGGAGGGAGAGGGAGAGAGAGTCTCAAGCAGATTCCCTGCTGAGCACAGAGCCCAGTGTGGGCCTTGATATCATGACCCTGAGATCATGATCCAAGCTGAAATCAAGATTCGGACACTCAACTGCCTGAGCCACCCTGGTGCATGCCCTGAAATTTTTTTTCTATTATTCCCTTGCTTTATTTTATAGATTACCACATTTGTATCCCTAAACAGTACTGTTTAGTTTTACTTACTTTTTTAACTTTAAAAAAAGGTTAAAAT